AAACTAATTGTAAATCATAGCACATCTTCAGTCCGAAGAAGCAAAGCAGTCAAATATCTTAGTATAAAGCCAAAACTCGATATTTTTGTATGTTTGGAAAAATAGCGTTAACCCTGTAGCACCGATCTCTAGTGTAATACAATTACTGCAAACACTGACACACAGAAACACGGAAGCTTCTACAAAAAAATTACATGTGAAATCACATTAAAAACACGTAAAAACACGTACGACACATACTGAGTTGAAATTATATAATTTTACTATAGAGTAGCTATTGCAATAACTGTTAATATGAGTCACGTGCACAAAATGAACACTGAACAGCCAGAAGTCACAGAGATAGACTGGGGGCACAAGATAAACAAGTACAAGAACATTTTTAAAAAATCAACAGATGATTTTAATATGCTCAAAGAGGAGCACCTAGTAGAATATCTTAGAAAAGACAATAAAATAGCAGCCTTTGTAGGAGCCGAGCCACAACTAATATATTTGTTCAGGTGTTTAATTGAAACTTATAACTGGCTAGAGTATCTGAGAATCAAAAATGGGGAGAACGCTCGACTAATAGACCTAATAGACTTAAATAAAAGCGAAAAAAGAAAGGAGATATTAGTTAACCAGGAATACGGCACGTTAGATTATGGTATACAAGAGAAATTAAAGTCACAACAGTACAAAACTAATGTCCAACCAAGAAAAAGAAGTATGAGCCCAATAGAAAAGAAAAGAGAAATCAAGAAAATCTGCAAAAAAGAAGAAGTTATAGTCCAAGTATTCAACATATCTAAAGTATACAATACAGAATCACGGCTTGTTAAATCTACTAATGTGGATACCCAAGACAATACTCTGAAGATAGATATTATAGAAACTATAAAAGACGGAGACAAAGATACAGAGGCTTCAAAAATCTGTTATACTCTTTGGGACATACCAGCAGAAGTTAAAGCAACAAGAGTGCGAAGATATCTGCATTTTTATAGTCAAGTACAATTTAAACACTGGGAATTTGTAGGAACAAAGAAAGCTGTCTCCTTCAACATAACTTTCTGGAACGAGAAAAGAAAAGCTATGTTTACAAATGCCTGGGCTGTATATTTCGAAGAGAGTAAGATGCTAAGATTGTCAGAAGGAGTATTCGACAGGTTCATTCTAGATAAAAGAGAAAGATTTAAAACGATTCTAAAAAATATCCCAAAGACAGCCCTCGAAACTATGCTGCTAAAACAGTTAAGGCTAGTCAGAGCGCAAGCAGTGTATATTTTGCACAACCGGAACAAAAATCAAAGAAGCACAGCATCTGTGGTTTTTAAATCAGAAGAAGAGCTACTAGCAGCACTGGCAAAAAGAATATATTACTACAATACAAGACTAGAATGGGGTACAACAGACGGTATAAAAGAAGAATCCAACAGTTCCGCCTCTAGCAAAAGAGGAAGATCTAGGAATCATTTACTTAAACAGGAAAGAGAAAGTGCAGCAGAGAGAAAAGAAAATTCTTATACTTGGAATAGAGATAGCAAAATCAAAGCAACCAACAAATTAGATCCTCCTGCTTCATTATTGAACAAAAGAAACAAAAATAAGGAGAATATAAAACCCAATTACAGAAACTACAGTAAGAGGGCTTTGAAGAGTCAGCCAACTCAAGAGGATTTGGTTCAATCCATACTACTGCAAATTATAGGCAGACTGGACAAGCTAGAAGGTCAAGACAGCTCATTTTATAGAATATTCGCAAGAGACGATCTTGCGAATCGCTCCTAAGGGCACCCCAGGTGCAACAATGAAACCCCTAGAAACAAACGAGGGGTTCGAGAGTAAAGCCGAGGTTGTGTTCCCTGAGAATGAAGATAGATGGGGGACATTGGGAAAGAAAGACAGATACGAACAATTTTATATGATGAACATTAGGTTTCACAATATCAATGGATTAAAAAATAACAAGAATAAGCTAAAAGTGATTATAGATTATGCAAGAGAAAAAAAAATTGATATTCTTGGGTTGGAAGAAACAAATATTAGCAGCAAAGAAGGCTTCTTTGCAATAAAAAACAATGACACATATATTAGCATATGGGCAGACTCTGATGAAAAGAAGAAAAAAGGATCTGGACTTGGGGTACTAATCAGAAAAACATGGGAACAACACATCACATCAATAGTCAGAGATAACCTATATTATTTAAGTTTAGTATTAGACTTTAGAGTTATTATATTTAATATTATATATATATACGTAGCCCCAAACAACAAAGAGGTACAAGAGGTGATCTTACAAAAACTGAAATATAGTATTAATCAATATAAAAGAAAACTACAGCGATATGTGATATTAGGCGACCTGAATATAAGCACAAAAGGTTCTTTGAGTGATGATCCTAGTAACACAAGCACAAGTCACAAAACGAGCCTCAAATAAAGAATATTACAAGCTCTGGAAGAGAAGCAGTTCTTTGATGTGCAAGAGCTTACACAAGCACCAACTTGGTCAAATAGCTTTACAGAGACCCGGATTGACTACATATGGGTCTCGAAACAGTGGAAAAATAGCGTAGCTAGTAGCAAGGTGGATGATATGACAATTTGCACCGGGAGTGACCACAAACTCATACGAGCAAGCATTCTTACGGGCCTAGAGTTAAGAAATGCAAAACCGGCAGGACGGAAGCGTCACTACAGAAAGAGGGTAAATATTGATGTGAGCTCGGCAACTAAAGAAGAATGGAAAGAGTATCAA